TGTATCATTCTTTTTTGTTTCTTAGGTTTTCATGCACATCACTCATTAAATACTACTAGTTTTTACGAGTTAATGCACGAAACTTTATTTATTTATTGACGTTTCGTAGCCTTTACAGGCTACGTCGTCAGAATACGAAACGTCAATAAATAAATAAAGTTTCGTGCATTAACCCGTAAAAACTAGTTTTATTATATCATTCGTTTGGATTATATTATGGTTATTAGGACGTTAGATGTTTAAATGTCTGCAATAGGCTAACTGTATCAAAATCTTATATAGGGGTTTAAGGCAAAAATTAACAATTTACGTAGAGGACCAAAAGAACCCATAGAGCCTATGGTGTCGTCCCAATGCTAAAAGTTCATTCACTTTTTGTTTTCAGTGTTTACCTTGTCCACTGATGGACATAGGCCTTCCCCATAGAACGCCACAATGCGCGGTCCAGCGCTATCTGATATTGTCAGTTCACCTTGTTGGGGGCAGCCCCACGCTGCGTCGTCCGGTACGTGGTCGCCACTGGAGGACCTTTCTTACCCAATGGTTGTCAGATTCTCGTGTGGCCTGCCCATTGCCACTTCAGCATGCTAACTCTTCGGGCTATGTCTAGCCAGACATAGCCCGAAGAGTTAGCATGCTATCAGTCCCATAAGTCATCACATAGCCATGTGATGACTTATGGGACTGAGACGTGGTCACTGAATATCGGCCTCATAACAAAACTCAGAGTCGCGCAGCGTGCTATGGAGAGGGCTATGCTCGGTGTTTCCCTACGTGATAAGATCCGAAATACGGAGATCCGTAGAAGGACCGGTGTGTACGACGTAGCCCGAAGAGTTCCACCTTACAGAAGCCCGTAATATAATAACACTACCTTTTGGTGGTGTTGTGTTTCTGTCGGTGAGTAAGGTTCCAGGAATTCACGGGGTAGGGGATTAGGTCAGGGTAGGCAACGGTGTGAGTTATATATTTGGTATCGCAAGCGTCTACAGGCAATGGTGGCCGCTTGCCCTCAGGCAGGACAAACGTTTGTATGTGGTATACAAACATAAAAAAATGTGCCGCTCCAGCCATTCTTACCTTACTGGACTGAACCCAAGCCCATTGGTGCTCTGGAACCTTACTCACTAAGATAAGTACAACATTACCAAAACCTAGTGATATAAATAAATGATTATAATAAATATTTCCAACACTCACACCTAGGGTTACCATATCTCAGGATTTGTCCTGTAAGTACAACGTTACCAAAACCTAGTGATATAAATAAATAATTATAATAAATATTTCCAACACTCACACCCTAGGTTACCATATCTCAGGATTTGTCCTGAGATTTCAGGCTTTTTGGGCTCTTCTCAGGAATGCGGTTGGATTTTGCAAATTTCTTGAAATCTCAGGATTTTTTGAATTTCAAATAAAATACAGTTTACGTTTAAAGATCTCTTTTAACAAAAAGTTAAACAAACTAAGAATTCTATTTCTATTGGTAATAATTGCACAATTAAAATCATTACTTTATTATCCAAGTAGGTACTGAATCAGTTTTATCATACTTAATATGTGAAATTCTTTTCAAATTATATTGATTTAAAAGTATAAGCAGAGTACACACGATAATATTATGACTTTAAAATTGTTAACTACGTTTGAGAGAAAATTCTACAACAGTAAAAAATCTCAGGATTTTTCAATGGAAATCAAGCCTTTTCGCCGGACTTTTGATTTTATTATCTGGTAACCCTACTCACACCAATTAGCCTAGCCCCAAGGAAAGCACTGCCACGGAGGTCGTCAATATATAATATATAAGACTGGTATTCTGTAAGATCAATATGGCTTTGCCAGATGGGTGTTAAAATTCAAGCAGAATATCAGAATATCCTACCTCTCTTATAATTATAGACATACCTACATGTGTATTTATGATCAAAATACCTATTGATCGAAGTGCTGAAAGTAAATTGACGGCCCCAGCATGCACAAACGAAAGTCCTTCACTATTATTTTTCTATTATTTTTTTACTTTATGAGAAATTAATCATCGTAAACGGACATTCTGTTGTTAAAAAAAATTAAAGTTCTGTAACTAGGTATTGGCTACACAATTTGCTTACATGTCATCTTTAGCCTTAAGAGACTGTCTCATTTAAATTCAAAAACACATTAGCCGTTAAGCTTTCCTCTAAACAAACTTTAACTCGAATCATTGTTAATACCTATATATAGAAACGTACGTCGGAAACCATTTATCAAGCTTGAACATTGTATAGATATGCAACACATTTCCAATACATTACGAACCCTAGTTTGCGTATATGGTCCGAAATATGTGATAAGTCATACCGACAAAGCCTCTGGTTGTATCTGCTTAAAGACCCTCGGAGCCGTTCATGTCACCCAGGTTATCAATCTCTCACCCTGTTTCTACATAATACGTGCCAAGGTTAATTTCTCAGACATAGTGTATTAGCAGCTAGTAATACACTGAAACAAAATAGAACTAGATTATTTGTTACGACTTCCTTTTTGGAGATTTGAAAATGACTGATTCAATTTGCGCTGTAATGTTTTTTACAACATTCTCCCTTTTCAGGCAAGGTAAAGGGAGCAATGCCCATTCAGTTTAGTCTTAAGTTTTATAAATGTACTTTTTTGTACTTTAGAATGTCGGTGTAAGGCATTCTAATGTTTCTTGGACTGTTTGGCATTAAATGTATCAGGCTAGCTTTTTCGATAAGCTGTGAGGTAGTCAGTACTACATTAAAGTGCTCACACCCAATTGATCGGAATAACGTCTAAAAGATCCCACTAATTGTTTAGATGCGCAGATGGTTGTAATACAAAATACAGTAATTTTATTTCACAAAGTCCACTAAGAACGAATTTAAGAATAATTAAAATAAGACGCCAACCGCACTCGATAAAATTGCGCCAAAACTCTTTGCGCTCTAATGTTTTGACTTTTTTTATAAATCTGTCTACAAAAAAAACAAAGGTATGTCAGGGTGGAACTGTGTTAATAAAAGAAAGCATAAAAACGTCAAGTTAAAAGCTGTGACCTAGCTGTCGGTATACCTACTTTATCTGCTGTTTATGTTTTTCTAATATGGCTTGTTAATGTGTTTATTATAAATGAATGTGGTTCTATTCTTCTAAATTTCCACAGAATTTGGTATTATAAGTTCTGCGGCGCAGTTATAATGTGTGAGTATGATATATGATATATATATGAGATGTGAGTAATGAGCTCGAATAAAGGTAGCCCTTTTTCATCGCAATGAAAGCGTACTCTCAATGTAGGTACCTATATTGTCATGAAATATTATCTTCATTTGGTGACAGGCTTAGTAAATTTCAAGGTTAAAAAATTCTATCTAAGGAAAAAAGGACAAAGAAATTTTACGTCAGGATATTAGTTTGCTTGAAAAGATTATACTTCCTTTCCATTACACTATGTCACTAAGTTTATAAACCTCGGATTCGATCCATCAATCATAGCCTAGGTGAGACCACCTTATTTATTATAACATAAATTGGATGCAATGGGATACTGCCTTGTCGTTAATCATGGAGTGAATGCCTTTTATGTCTAACTATTTTTAAACTTTTGAAATAGATAAAAAGTGTATCATAGACTTATTTTTAAGTGTGTATAAAATTATAAATCACAGAATTGAATGACGGCCGCTATTGATTATGCAGCGTTTAAGTACTTCCAAATGTCACAGCCCGCAAACATCGTAGGTTCCCATTCAACCAGCTGTTATGTTATAATCAAAGTAATTTTTTCTACACATTTTCAACCAACGGCAAAAAAGAGGATGAAAAGAAAAATAAACAAATTATTTAATCATTGCCTTGCCTGTCAAAGAGATCAGAGTCGCCACTTCTTACAGATATGGGTAGCATTTTTAGTAATTTTAGCAAAGCCAACATCGAATGCAGCTAAGTGTTGTCAGTTATGTTAGTTAATGCATTATTCCACCAATGATTCGTCGCTCCCACTGCGCAATATTATAGAAATGAAATATTTTTTTTAGGTTACGATGGGGCTGGCATGTTCTTGTTTAAATAAAAGCCCCTAAATAAATAAAGATAAAAATACATGTATGGGTTTTACTTTACTTCAAAAGTTGTTGATTTACTTCTAAAGTACTTTGGACTTATTTTCTAAGGTAATCTTTATGAGGTCAGTGTTTATCTTAGTTAAAAATAAAATTGTCTTTTACTTTTTATTACTCACATTAACATCGGCGATACATAGATATATGACCCCGATTTTATTATTTCAAGTATCTGATCGAATCGGATACACGGAAATCGGGTTTATATAGGCTTATGATCTATTTAATTTCGAATAATCCAATTGATGGCAATTTCGAAACTTTATCGTTCCAAGCAAGTCTATTAAAAACGTTTTAAAAAACAATTATGATTGATGACAAATGCAAAAACCTTTATATTAATGATTTCTTTAAGTATTTTCGTAACAATTGTAATATAACCACCATTTATTTGTCGATCATAATTATAAATACCTTAGTGTGATGATACGTGTAATTTTATAAATTAAAGATTCTTATCACACTTGAGTGAAATTCTCGGCTTACCAAAGCTTTTAAGCTTCGCTTAAGGGTTATTTCATATTTGTTCGTTTGAAAAGAGAGCTGTTTAAAATGAAACTGAAGGAAAGTAAAATAAGAACAATATCTAAAACGTTGTCGATACAAGTTGCGCCAGTTAAAAAGAAAGGAAACACAAGAAACGCGATCGCGAACCAACTGAAATTCGTAATATTGCTGGAAACAGGACTGGGTTTAAACCGTACATACCTATTGAAGTATCGGAGATTGGTGAAATGGTTTTTTCATTTGTATTGTACATTTATTAATCTTACAACAGTTTACACGTTGTTAGCGACCGAAGACGAGAGCGCAACCTCCAAAGTACTACGTGACACAGGGTGTCTCGAATATATGCTACTGGTACTCATTGCGATGCTCTCACAAAAGTCCAGTTTATTCAACATTTTTGATGACTTGTATAAATTCGATGAACTTTTGAACATCGAAGAAGATTTGGATGTGACTTTTCCAATCACCAAAGAAATGCTTTGGACAGTATTTTGTGTGTTGTATACATTGATTGAATTTATTTACTTAATAATGTATATTTATGATGAGACGACTAGAGAAATTTTCACGACTCTCATATCTTATGTCACTCTGTTGACGCACGATCTCGAGCATGTGCTGATTTGCTCTTTACTTCGTGCTATTTTTATGAGGGTCAGAATATTGAGGGCTCACGTAGAGAAAGCACTAGGGGATGGCAAGCAAACCAATACAAACTTGGACAGAGTGGAAGCGTTGTCAAAGAAGGCACAACTTGATCTCAACTCATTACTTAAAGCCTATGAGTTATTGCATAAATCCGCTGAACAGCTGAACTCAGTCATGAGTTTACCGGTAATTTTTATCCCTTCGGCTATTTTCGTGAACCAGTTTAGATTTTTTTTTAAACCGGTTTCAAACTGTTATAACAGAAAGATGTTAAGTTTAAACACCTTCGAGTACATGTTCATAGCATTAACCATTGTATTATAAATATTCTTTCTTTTACTTCCCAATGATTACTTTATTTATCTTTCCGACTCGTATGGTCCAACTTCATGTGCATTTTAATAAAGCCGTGCTTTACCGTCTTTTTTTAAACAGACTTTTGTTTCCTGTTTCGGAAACGGAAACTTAAAAAAAATCTTATTTGGCAACTGGTTTCGAAAACGGCCGAAGGGATCCTTATTATATAATTCCGTCAAAACTTCCCGTACATTTATATTATGTTAAAGCATCTTTTTCATAATTTTGTATTTACTTATTGATTTCAGATGATGATAATGCTTTTGTCCTCTGGATTGTCTAGTATTATGTTGCTAAAGGGTCTATTTAGAGTTTTGCAAACCGCTGTAGTACAACAGGAGGTTAGTAACCATTTAAAATATTGAACCATTGAGAACTGATAAGTACCCTACTAGGATGAATAATTAATTATAATGAAATGTTTATTGACATTGCGGAAAGCCGATGGATGCGAGAGGCGCAAGACCGATCGGTGTGGAGATCCTTGAGGGCGGCCTATGCCCAGCAGTGGGAGTCCAACGGCTGATATAATGATGATGATGGAACATATATTTCAGCTAATTATTAATGAACCGTAATATTAGTGACAAAATCAAATAAAGCTATTTAGTACATTACATTAAGATTATTATTGTCTCATGACTACAAGAAATTTAAATCAAATCATATCTAGCAATTTGGTTTAATATCCATTCGTTATTCAGTAGTATTTTAATTTTCTCTCTATACAGATTGTTTTAATTAATTTTATACATTGATAGGAACACTGTTTCATATTATACGGGAATGGGCGTTAATTCTGCAACACAGTTTTTGTAAAACTAAAGCAGTTTTAACGATTCATAATTTTATGTACATTGCACTTGTTCCAAATAAAGTTATTATTATTATTATAGTAACATATAACAACTTTCAGGCGGAGAAAGTGATAGTGTTGTATAGTGTGACCCGTTGTATAAAATACACTTTTCTAGTAATAATACCTTGCTACTATTCAAGCACAACCAACACACAAGTCTCACAAATACGTATCTTGCTCCACGATGCCATGAACTCTGACAATATTGGTAAGTCAAGGCTTAATTGTTTAGTTTTCAAAGTGAAATTTATTACGTCGCCACAAAATTTTACGTTCATCTCAGTAAATTTGCAGTAAAAAAACTCCAATTTATACGTAAATTTATTATTAACGTTTATTTGAGCAATTTAAACAGTACTTCAATGAATCATTCAACTTATTATTAGTTGAATTCGACTAGAATCGATTCTTTCGAATATAATAGCAAACTACGTTTCTTTATACGCCAAACGCTACGTTCCTTTATACGTTAAAAAAATATACTATTTTTTGAGATTTACCACTACCAAAAAAATACTTTTTATGTTATATTACTTAGTTTTTAATGTTTAACGTAATATAAAATATATGTTTGTACAAGATCAGTACCAAAATAGTTCTTCTCCTTTATATATCACATAATTTAAATATAAAATCTAAAGGAATATTGGGGACTTTTATTATCATAGTGATGAGTTGATTTAAATCCGAAAAACCTTTTATCTGTTTGTGCTTATAAACGGCTTGAAACAATATAGAGTGGATGAGCCATGAAGATTCATCGTGTGATTTCAATAAGATATAAATTTTTTGAACGTATTTTAAGCAAAACTTATTATGCACTGCTTTTTCTTAAAATAAAGAGCTTCCTAAGTAAGTTGTTTTGTGTAAAGTAATTCAGTTAATAATACTTACTCGTATATCGAAAATTTTTATAGTTATTAGTGCGACGCTGCTAGACTAAAGATATACTCAAGGTGATCTCAAAAAGTGATATTGTTTATAAATGTTGCAGGCAAATTGGAGCGGAGGCGAATTAAGGCATTCTTCCAGTTGACACGAGAGAGCGAATTCGCTTACGCGCTTTTTGGGGTTATAAGGCTTAATATGTCACTGCCATTAAGCTATCTAAGCCTTTGTACGACGTATCTCGTGATAATTATACAGTTCTCCAAGTTTATAGACTAACATTATTGTAAAGTTAATAGAACTGTTCTGCGTTAAATTGTTTACATTAAGAGTTCAGAAAGTAACATGTATTTTTTTGTGTGTTATTAGGTTTCTTTTCTAATTTATAGCCTGTGTAGAATTGTGAAAAATATGTCCGCCGAGGACTTGTCATGGACTTAGCTCACATATTAATAAAATTTTTGCCCGAAATTTTTGAGAAGCGTACGCTATGGAAGTAAATATTCTCAGATTACGTTCTGTTGTTATTAACATGAAATTTAAGAAAAAGAGAAGACTTTTAAAACAGAATACTGGGCCCATCTCTTTTAATCGGATCGAGCGCACTAGGCGGACGAAGGTCTGCTTGCACAGAAGCAGTGCACAACTGCTGCACCTAGTCACATGAGTTCTATATTTTTCGGTGGTTCGGTCCGGCGTACTTGTCCTGTCTAGTGTCTCGGCGTCGTTGGTTGCTAGGGGGAATTTTTGTCCGCAGTACTTTTAATGTTTCGTGTACGTTGCTCGATGCAGTGGTAAGCGATCTATTTTGGCGAATAAAAAAGTCCGCGGACAAAAGTGCCTCGTCTGCGCAGGCGATTAGTGTGATTTTAGAAAAAATGATTTTTAAACATCACTAAGGCCGCTTATCGATTGTATGATTTTTACCCGGACCGGTACCGCCGGCTAAGCTTGTTCGCAAGCACGGTTTTTATGTTTGTACCGACTCCAAACCTCCATAGTGTCCCATACCTAACTGACGACTAGACGTAGACACGGTGTAAAAGCGTGCCTAAAGCCGGCGGAAAATCGTCTCGTTAACAAGCGCCTTAAAATCGTAAAATATTGAGTGTACACTAAATAGCAATGTTTACATTGTAGTCATAAAACAGTAAAGATAAGTATGAAATAAAATGTTTGACAAATAAATTGAGTATTTTTCATCTCCTGTAAATTATTAATGCTTTTATGACAGTGACCTATGCAAACTATATAAAAAAGGTATATACCTTCTTATTACTTTCCCGCTGCAATACGGTTATTCAGATAAGTGCGCAGTAGTTAGTAGTAATCATTAGTAATATGTTAACATACAATCACAATGAATGTTGTACCCTTGAGCCCAACGGCATCTTTTGCGACGATGACAGGAGACCTGACTGTATGACGCCCATTCCTTGGAAGCAGGGTCGTACTCTTGCGTGGGACGCAACCTGCGTGGATACGCCTGCTCCGTGCCACACAGATAGTATTTTCCCTAGCTGCAGGAGCGGCGGCAGCCTCTGCCGAGTGCTCCAGGAGACGCAAATATTTAGCTCTCAATGAAAACTACATATTTGTGCCGTTTGGGGTTGAGAATATAGGCCCATGGGTTCCAAGCGCTCCTTCCCTTTTAAGAAACTGTCAAAGAGGCTCACTGAGGTGACTGGTAATCAAAAAGCTGGCAGCTATCTCGGTCAACGGATCAGCCTTACCATTCTACGTGGCAATGCTGCCAGCCTATTGGGCACCAATCCTGACGGCGGCATTGTGGGTGACATTTTTTTTATTTTGTAAATTATATATTATTTATGTAGTTAAGTATGTTATTTTGACTGTAAATTTTAAATATCAAGTTGTTTTTAAGTTGTTGTCATTTAAATGTATATATTTTAGCAAAATAAATGGAAAGTCCATCACAATTCGTTGACCGATTTTGGCATGATTATATCAACAACAAAAAAGATTTTAATGAATCATTTAATGTGATGATTTCAATATCCACGAGAATGAGATCTCTTTCCTGAACCTTCCTGTAACCTCAGCATTCACTATGAAATTGTCAGATATAAAGTTTGCGAGTCACCAAAAGAAAAACGACAAAAAAGTTACGGTTCAATTGATCAAACGGCACACTGCGACCCAGGCGCGGCTAGTATCGAGTGACTTTGAAGTGGTCTCTCTAAAGAACTAAAGGGTCTGGAATGCGAAAAGTGCTTGCTTTTCCGTTTCATTTGAAGGCAGTACGGCGGTAGAGAAAACCTTAAGTGAATCACTCCTATTTACATCGGCATCAAACCCGTTACTTAATGGAGTCTTTGGGGCTATATTGGATGAAGTAAAATGTTGCTGCTGAATTTTCCGTGCTTATGTATCTAACTGGTATCGTTTTTGGGGTCCGTACCTTACCAAAGAGGTGAGAATGGACTTTCCTTCCTCCGGTGCATGAATTGCAACAAGTAGACAGGATGCATGCGTTTCCTATTTAACCATTTTAACCTTTGCCACGTAAAATATATTTGACGTTATTTTCTCGATCCAGTGTTATAAGGAAGTCATCCTTTTTACTTACTTTGTTTTCTCCACCTATTGGAAGATTATCAAAAAGTATTGGACACATTATTTTATCTTTATTCACATAATCGAAATATTATAGAGATATATTTGATTGCCATTTATTATAAATGTACCTCTAACAACGAATTTGCTTGCATATCTATATCTCTATATCTTACGTCTATAGTATATAACAGTTGTTGAAACTAGTAATAATTACTTAAATCGTACAAAGTTATGGATTTAAAATATATATATATATATATTGATTGTGATGTTCACGAGGAGCTCGATGGCGCAAACGGTTACCGCGTTCGGCTGCGATCGTTGAAGTTAAGCAACTTTCGCAGCAGCAGCAAGGGCAGCTTAAAAATGGAAAAGCCCCTGGAGAGGATGGTGTTTCAACAGAACTCTTAAAGGCTGGAGGTAAACCCGTACTGAGGGAGCTCCAAAAGCTTTTCAACACTGTCCTGTTCGAAGGGAGAACTCCGGAGGCGTGGAGTAGGAGTGTGGTTGTCTTGTTCTTTAAAAAGGGGGACAAGACCCAACTTAAGAACTATCGACCCATATCCCTTCTAAGCCACGTGTATAAGCTGTTCTCAAGAGTGATCGCGAACCGTCTTGCGCGAAGACTTGATGACTTCCAACCACCGGAACAGGCTGGGTTTCGGAGCGGATACGGCACCATAGACCACATTCACACAGTGCGGCAGATTATACAGAAGACTGAAGAGTACAATCAGCCCCTGTGCCTAGCATTTGTGGACTATGAGAAGGCCTTTGACTCGATTGAAATCTGGTCTGTTCTGGAGTCCCTGCAGCGTTGCCAAGTCGACTGGCGATACATCCAAGTGATTAGATGTCTGTACGAAGCCGCCACCATGTCTGTCCAAGTACAGAATCAGCAAACAAGTCCCATACCATTGCATCGTGGAATGAGACAAGGGGACGTTATTTCCCCGAAATTGTTCACTAATGCAATGGAGGATATGTTCAAGACGCTGAACTGGAAAGGACGTGGCATCAACATAAATGGCGAACGCATCTCTCACTTGCGATTTGCAGACGACATCGTCATCATGGCAGAAACCCTGCAGGACCTACAACAGATGCTGAATGATCTGGCTGACTCTTCTATACGCATCGGCCTACGGATGAACTTGGATAAAACCAAGGTCATGTTCAATGAACATGTTCTACCGGAACCGATTGCAATACACGGTGCTGTTCTCGAAGTTGTTCAAAAATATGTGTACCTCGGGCAGACATTGCAGTTAGGTAGAAACAACTTTGAGGACGAGGTGAATAGAAGAATTCAGCTAGGTTGGGCAGCGTTTGGGAAGTTACGTCAAGTCCTGACATCGTCGATCCCACAGTGTCTGAAGACGAAAGTCTTCAATCAGTGCGTCCTACCTGTGATGACATACGGAGCCGAGACGTGGACACTGACGGTACTTCTGGTCCACAGGTTCAAAGTCGCTCAACGCGCTATGGAAAGGGCTATGCTCGGCGTTTCTCTGAAGGATCGCATCAGAAATGAGGTAATCCGGCAGAGAACCAGAGTTATCGACATAGCCCACCGGATTAGTAAGTTGAAGTGGCAGTGGGCTGGCCATATTTGTCGAAGAACCGATAACCGTTGGGGTAGACGAGTTCTGGAGTGGAGACCGCGTCTAGGCAAACGTAGTGTAGGACGTCCTCAGGCGCGATGGAGTGACGATTTGCGCAAGGTGGCTGGCAGGAGCTGGATGCGAGTAGCCCAAGATCGATCTAAGTGGCGTGCATTTGGAGAGGCCTATGTCCAGCAGTGGACCAAGATAGGCTGTTGCAGATGATGATGAACTTTCGCAGTGGTCGGTCATCGGATGGGTGACCAAAAATTTACTATCTAGAGCCCGTCCGTGCTTCAGAAGGCACGTTAAGTCGTTGGTCCCGGCTACATCTGCAGTCGTTAGTACCCACCAATCCGCACTGGGCCCGCGTGGTGGGTCATGGCCCAATCTCCCTATTCCATCCATAGGGAAGGCCTGTGCCCCAGCAGTGGGGACATTAATAGGCTGATGACGACGATATATTGATTTAAAATGTCGCTTGACGTCACGTCTTAGTACAGTTTTTACTTAGAAGTGATGACACGAGCTTCCACTTCCAAACTTTGGCGCGCTTGATCTTTGTCATTTTATGGTGGATTGTCAGTGAAAAATACGTGTCCATTATTTTTGATAATCTTACTGATAGAGTAAATATAAATTTGTTTACCCTGTCATCAACCTTTGAGCGTTCCCTGTGCAATCATTAAATAAAACTAGGCTGAATTGTGTCAAATAAAGGAAGCGATCCAGCGGCAATTAATTCATTTAAGTATTGGTTGCACTATCGCTTGTGTTTCATATTATATGTTTTCCAATCTTAGTCCCAATGTTTAACTCTTATAATTATCGTCAACGGTACTTAATATCCATCAATATTTTTTGTTACAACAAATAATCTGACTGATGATTTATCTATTTGGCAAACGTGTTAAGTGTGTGTGCAGAGAAGTTAAATACGAGAACATTGTGCATATTGGCAGAGAAAAGCCATGAAAGCAATACACGCTCATACTAATTGGCAATTATTTCCATAATTGAGAATAAGCTTTCTAGATTAATTACATCAAACGGTTTCTTGATTAATAACTTACTCACATGTGTGCATCGATTCTA